GTAACTATCGATGTATTAGAAATCAATGATAATCAAGAAACGCTGACATGTATGTATATTTTTTATACTATGAATTATAGATAATATTCCATTTTTATTTAGATTCTCTTCCCGTTGATTTAATACCGTTTGTGAATTTATCTGAAGAATGGATGGAATATAATGTATCATCTGAACAAACGATACATATTGCATGGCAAAGTCTTTTTCAATCAATACCTGTGCGTGATATGAAATTAAACCGGTGTTTAGCTTGTAATCAATATACACATATTACAAATATTGAATCAAATAGAATATTAATTAATAAAAATCTTCTTGTATGTTATTTTGAGAAAAAGAAATTTTTATTGTTGTTTTTTTTTTGAAGGATGATAAAACAGTTAAAAATGCTTATTCAGATCCAAATTATTCAAAAATAACTAAAATTATATTACCATGTTCATCAAATAATTCATCCATGACACGTCTTTCGGCTTTACAAAGTATATTTTAAATATTTTTAAGAGAAATAATATATATATATATATTAATTTAGGTGAAAATTTTCAACGTGAATATGAATTAGTACAACAACTTTATCGACAATCTTTAGAAGATGCTGATCAAGAAACAGAAGAAAAAATTCGGTATAGAAATAAATATTATTTTTGTCTGAATCAATTTTTATTTAATATAGAATGTACCAATATGAACAAGAACAACTCTTAAAAACCAAAACAGCAGAAATTAATAAACAATTAGATGCTTTTTTAAGGTAACGAAGTTTTTTTTTACCTAGAACAATCAATAATTACTGAACTTTGTCATATGTAGTTAATTTTAATTTGTTGATTATATCACGAGAGGAGGACATCGAGTCTATTAAAATTGTTTCGTAAACAATCATCATTTAAAATTTAGTTTTACTCGAGTTAATTTTAAGTTGAAGGTTTTAATTTTATAAAGTGTTACTTGAATAAAAATTACCCGTCTAATATATTCCAAAGATACTTTCCACTTTATTTTTTATAAAATAATTGAATTCTAAATGTACGATAAGTTTATTCTCAAAAGAAAAGTTTGCATTATTTATGTCTTTTTCTTTTTATAAAAAAAAAAAAATAATAACCTTGATAAATTTCTAGTTTTATGCGTTCGATACCTCGATATACATCAAGTGCTAAAACATCGCCAACATTACAAACATCAATTTCTTATATAAATGAAAATAGGTTCATAGAAAATTTTATTTTATATTATAAAGTACAATAATTTTTTTAATTAGTATGGAATCAGGTTTTGGTTCGGATATTTTTGATACTAATGGAACAGATTTAAGTCGACAATCATCAACTTTTGAACGAGTAGAAATCTTTCTTTTTTTTTCTATTTAAAAAAATTTTATTTTCTTCTATAGACATTTTCTGAACGTACCAATA